TAAAATAAAATAAAATAAAATCGGGTAACTACAGAAACGGATCGAAATGAAAAGTTATGCCTTAAAAAACGAGAACCCACTAATGATACCAAGATCCTTGTTTAAACCAGATACGTGTGTTTTGTATCTGATAATGAGTTTGAGTTCCATGAGTCTACGTTGGTGGAGGGAGGAGAAATTAGTGGATATGAGGGCACACCGTAGGTTGCTGAGAGAATGGTTGGGAGAGTTAAAGTGTTCTGCTACAGGAAAACTAACAGCCTCCCTAATTGCCTCAGCTTTTAGCCCTGTACCCTCAACATAGTTACAATCAATTTATAGGCAAACAATAAGATGTGTATAAGAGACAGGAATAACATATATACAACATTGTGAGCATCACAGTTAAGAGAGGGGAGACGAATAGTGCAGCCAGAATGAGGCATAGAAATAGAGCAATCGGTGGTGATAAATTTACAAATTTGACATCTAGGCTTGTAGCATTTATTACCAGCGGACCTACAGGATGAAAGTAAGCGAGATGAAGATATAATAGATTTGAGATTGGGCGGTTGGCGGTTGGCTACTACTGGGGGATCATTGAAAATAGTGTTTATGGAGGGATCGAGTTTGAGGGATTGAAATCCTTGTTTAAGTCTGTTAGCTATTTGGGAATTGCTGGGACTGTAATCAGTGACTAGGGGTATGCGTTCCGTGATGGGCTTATGATTGGGAGAGAGGAGAGAAGGTCTAGAAAACCTATTAGGTTTGCTTGAGGATGAATTCAAGAGGATAACCTTTATCCAGAAAGTAGGCCATGAGCTTGTTGACGTGGTCAAAGTAGTCATCATCGTTGATAAGTTTCTCCTCGAGGGAGAACAGTTTTCATCTCAAAACCCATGCATTATGTCAGATACATTGACGACATTTTTTTTATATGGAACCATGGCATTGATGCGCTTGAGCTTTTCAAAACTCATGCGAACACTTTCCATCCCACTATTAAATTCACGTTTGAACACTCTCAACACACTCTCCCGTTTCTCGATGTCTCTGTCAAGGTTACAGACGGGCAACTCTCGACTTCTTTGTACTGTAAGCCCACTGTTATCTTAACTATAACAGCTTTCATCTCCTTAAACTCGAACAATCATTGATATTCAGCCAATGTCTTCGCATCAGACGAATTTGTTCCAACGATGATGACTACTTTGACCACGTCAACAAGCTCATGGCCTACTTTCTGGATAAGGGTTATCCTCTTAAATTCATCCTCAAGCAAACCTCTAGAGCTAATAGGTTTTCTAGACCTTCTCTCCTCTCTCCCAATCCTAAGCCCATCACGGAACGCATACCCCTAGTCATTAATTACAGTCCCAGCAATTCCCAAATAGCTAACAGACTTAAACAAGGATTTCAATCCCTCAAACTCGATCCCTCCATAAACACTATTTTCAATGATTCCCCCAGTAGTAGCCAACCGCCAACTGCCCAATCTCAAATCTATTCTATCTTCATCTCGCTTACTTTCATCCTGTAGGTCCGCTGGTAATACCAAATGCCACAAGCCTAGATGTCAAATTTGTAAATTTATCACCACCGATTGCTCTATTTCTATATGCCTCATTCTGGCTGCACTATTCGTCTCCCCTCTCTTAACTGTGATGCTCACAATGTTGTATATATGTTATTCTGCAATATTTGTGATGATGGTCATTATTTTGGCGAAACTGTTGTTGATTTTAGGTCCAGATTTAATAACCACAAATCTTCTATCCGACACAATCGCATAGGTTTTCCTGTAGCAGAACACTTTAACTCTCCCAACCATTCTCTCAGCAACCTACGGTGTGCCCTCATATACACATCT